CACAGAACCGTGGACAGTGCGGCGGGGCGGGGGTCCCGGGCGGCACAGCACCCTCTCCATTAGTACTGCTCTGAAGACCAGTTGGTGGGGTTCTCCAGGGGAATATTTTTAGCAGATGATACTTCCAGTATCACTGCTGGTACAACAGCTAAATGGGTAGCGTTGACGATAGTCACCAATAACCACATTGTAGTCACGAGCCACCATGACCCAGTATTGTCAACAATAATGCTGAACCATTGCCGTAGTAGATTATATTATCAGGAGCGGGGTATGATGGGTAGCGTTGACGATGGTCACCAATGACCACATTGTGGTCACAAGCCACCATGATAAAGTATTGTCAACAATACTGATGGGCTATTGTCCTATTAAAATATTATTAACCGAACGCCAAAGACAGAAGTCGGACACACAACGAGGCCGGCACCAGGATCACTTTGGCCTTTAAAACTCCACTCAAAATTCGTTGTCCTTGACGGGGGCCTCGTGGTACACCCTCGTATCTCGCGAACTGTAGACCGAAGAGAGAAACGGACTGTTCAGCAGGACCCGGAAACCAGGATAGCATGTGGCGAGGTGGTCGTCATGAGGACAAGCAACGGCGTCGGCTGAGTATTCCGTGCTGTGCGCACAGAAGTTGTGCAAGGCATGTGCGCATCGGCAACACCGGCGCGCACACGGCGTGCTCAGCCTTCGCGGTCTTTGTGGTGGCAAACTTGCGTGCAAGTTCATTGCGCACTGAAAGGCGCTTATGTGGTGTGGACTTGGCGCGCACGCGGCGCGCGGCGTGCACGTAGCGCGCAGGCGATGTGCACAAAATGCGCACGCGGCGCGCACAGGACCCATTTTATCATGGGATGAGGTCAAATGGACTGAATTAACACTTCAGTGCACCAAAAGTACTTTGTGCTATCCGCCCCAACATAGGCTCGTTGGTGCGGATGGCACTACGCGACGCGTCCGTGCAACAATATCCTATCTGCCCGGAAAGACTAGCCTATCTGTTTTTCGCATGGACCAGTAACTTACACTTTGGCGTTACGTTACAAAATACATAGTGTACCGATCAGTTTCGTTCTCTTTGTCGTTACGGTATAATAACGGTAACAGAACTGGTCCATCATCGGTTTGGTTACAATTTGTAACCAGTTCGCGCCGGTTCCAAAGGAAACGTTTCATGGAACGAACTTTTAACAAACTTTGAGATGTAACGTTACGAATCGTACCGACACGAAATGGTAAAAGCCACTCTGTTACAATTTGTAACGTTACAGGTCTGAAACTGTCCCCGAAAAGACATAAGTGACGTTACGAATAACACAACAATAACGGCCGCAAAAGTTACGTTACAAAACTTTTCCCCCGACGATTGTGCTACCGCCACGCCACTTGGGGGGCTTTGGGCTTCAGGTTGGTTACCACCTACCACTGCCTCGACCCGGAGCCACACGGAGTGATAGGAACAAATCCATGCCTTCGCCTTCCTCCGCATCCAGGGCAAATTCAGTCGAGACCGGAGCAGCTCAAAGAAAAGCATTTCCCCTGCCCGGTGTTGAACCCCCGACTGGGGAGCGGCTGCCCGAGACGCTCTCCACTGAGCCAGAGCGGTTCGCTGGAGAGTGCGGGCAGAGCACCAGTCTGCTTCGCTCGCCAGTCGCCGCTGGCCACCGCTTGCCGGAAGGAATTCGCGAGCGGACGGCAGCGGTGCGCTGCCCGTCGCCACCGGCAATGCGCTCCATAGTCCAGTAGAGAGCGGCTGGGGCAGCCATCCTCAAAGTCGAGGGTTCGACGCCGGGTATGCGATATGCTTTTAAGTTTCTTTCTTTGAGCTGCTCCGGTCTTGACAGAATTTGCCCTGGATGCGGGCGGAGGAAGGCATCAGAGCTCTGCAAAAGTCGCCTCGTCGACCTACCGAGCTCGACCGGGAGGCGGTCGGCACCAACCGCGTGCAGATGAGAGGTGAGGAGGGGAGACAAAGCGGGTGCTCCTCTCCTCACCTCTCACCTGAACGCGGTCGGTGCCGACCGCCTGCCGGTCGAGCTTGGTCGGTAGACGAGGCGACTTTTGCAGAGCTCTGGAAGGCATGGATTAGCTCATATCACTATGGATTAGACCAGGGGATTCTCTGCGCAGCCAGCCACAATCCAGGCGAAGTCCACGGTGCATTCAGCCGTTTCTCTCAGGAGGGCGTAGGTGTAGCCCCGGGTCGAGGCGGTGGTGGTAGACATCGAGCCCGAGACCCGAGACGCCCGCGGAGACGTGGACGTGGCACACCTGCAATCTTGTCCGACTGGGAAATTTTTGTAACGTAACTTTTGCGGCCGTTATTGTTCCGTTATTCGTAACGGTACATCTGTTTTTTTCTGGGACAGTTCAGATCTGTAACGTTACAGAACGTACCTCTAGAATGTAACGTAACTACCTGCATCGGTTTTGAGTAACGTTACATTTGTAACGAACATAATAACTCAGACGCACGGTCTGGATCGTATTTTGTAACGTTACAAAAAATGGAACTGTACAAAATGTAACTTTATTCGGTTACTGTTACGTATCATGGAACTCACTATATGTTCAATAAAGTTACCGGTGCGGTAACGTAACGGAAAACTCCGAGAAAATAACTTTTAATTTGTTATGTTACTGGTCCCTGGTTTTTCGGCGCTCTCTTCAACGCCGTCTTCTTTTCATTGTGGGTTGGCTAATATTAAAAGTAAAAAAATAAATGCAAAATTGCTTTATGTTCCTTGATCTTTAAGGAACAAGCACCAATTTTTACTTTTTACTCGTTCTTTACCTCCCTCCCTCCAAACATCACTACGTGGAGGAAGAAGAACGAGTATTGTGCTCGGTGCTGTGCAAGTTAGGACCCATTTCGCTGGAGGAAACATACAGACAAGTGCAGTATACCAAACGATAGGGTTTTACCCAGTAATGGCGCACTAATAGAGGTTTTTTCAACTTTGAAAGCAAATTTTAGAGAAAACTTGATTTATAATTTCTGTCCGCGTCGCGAAAAGTTCAAAACTGTGGTGGCAAATGGGGGATTTTGAAATGTCAATAACTCATTTCTCCGGGTGTAATTCAACCTGCTGACCACCATAAATGTGCCATGGCCGCCGTGCCTTCCAAAGTAATTACCACTCGAAATTCATTCGCTTTATAATTTTTATGATTGGGTTCACTTTGGACTTAAAATAGTTTTGGCACTGGTGAAGGCGTTGTGCGCATGCGTGAACTTGTAATGCACATAAATACAAGAAATTTGATTTATTCAGTGTGTTTGTACGACGTCAACACTTTTATTGGCTGAGCGA